CGTTTTCGTCGATGTTTTCAATTACTGACTGTATTAGATGACGAATGATAGACCTGCCGTGTAACGAAGACCTGTGTGCATGTAGGTATACCTTGTACACTTGGCGGAGTACAGGCAGGTAATTAGTCTCACCAACACTATACCATGCTCATCCGTCCTTCACCTTTGTGCTTTTAAATGACTTACACGGGGGCATGTACGTGCGGTATGGAGGATAAGCTGTTCTACTAAGTAAATCCCTAGTCTCGTACTTACACATCAATGAATCACTGAAACTAGCAACAGCTACACCAGCGTTATAACTACTGCAAGTCTCTTTAGTTTCGCGAGATCTATATTTTGGCGTAAGTAAGCCAGCAAATCGAGTACGAGAAACTCGTAATTTATATCATATCGCTAATATTTCTTCAGTCACACGTAATGCATGAACAACTGTTGCTTCTTTTCACAAAGTTAAATTCTCATGAACATGTCATTGCAAAGACGATCGTGGAAACAATGGTAGCGAAAATTAACTGATAAACAATAAAGCATGATTACTAAAACATAATAACATCTTACAAATTGTACTGTCTTCAGGAAGTAATAGTAAAATCTTTTTTTTAAATTTCATTCTTGTTCAGATAAATTGAACTTCTTCAACAATATATTCAGTGTAATTTACATTTCTGAAAATTTCATTTGTGATATTTGTTTATAAGGAAATAAATAGAAAAAAACTGTTCGAAGTTGATCGGCGAATAATGCATTTAGATTGCATTAAATCTAACTTACAAGTTAAACACGAGGTGCATACAGGGATGCATAGGTATCGCTCGTATTATCAAAACTCGCCCTTCTCGTCTATATAAATACATCTTGTTTTTCTGGTTAAATATCGTCCTTAGATAGTTTCTTTCCTATAGCTAAATTTCGTCGTTGTTGGTAACTATCTCGCCTCTGTTATCTAGATAGTTTATTTCCGTTATAAGACGAACAAGTCAGATAGGAACAGCTTCGCTTTCGAACCACACAATGTCCCAAATATCTAGTACACGTGTGTTTGTGTTATGTAATATCAGACCGATATGTCGAACCAATTCACCATGTTGGCACGATCTTATCGTAAGACTGTTGTTGGTTCAACTCCATCATCGATCTTTCGTACAATGCCCCCCATACCATAATCAAGAGTTTTCAAAAGGGCTTTCATTCCGCAATAAATGTTTGTAGTGAATACACAAACACACAAAACACAAAAACCGCAAGCTTTCTTTTTGTCATGAAACGGTGGTTACGGAACTAAGAACATGCTGCATTTTAACAATCCCCCTGGGCTAGCTATAATTGATGACAAACACGATAGTATAACGTGTCTCGTTGTTAAGTTGTTACACGGCAAGAGATAATAAGATAAACGCACATAATCCTGTGAATAGGGCTAAAGAAGCCATTTGATAATATTGAATCCACATTTTATTACAAATCAAACCAGTTTGTTTCAGAAGTATGTTCGGTAACTTTTATCAACCCGCTACGGCAGTACTGTAATACTCTATGGACAGGATATGATCCCATCACTTAACGTTCAATTATAATGTTGGTTTAGTCAAACGATATTTTTATCAGGTTCATACTTAATAATAGTTTATGGCTAAAAGCAAACCAATAGATTGAGCTATCATTGAACGTGGTTAGTGTTGTCCCCGGGGACACTGAATCATCTCGTGTTAGCAGCGGGTGGAAGCCATATGCTAGACCGTGTGTTTTCAAAAAGCATTTGTTTTAATGTAATATAAATGAAGTTATCGAAAAGAGAAATGAACTTTGGCAGGAAAAAATACGGTTTGAGGTTATATACAATTTTGTATATTGTTTTCATCTCGAACTCCATTCGGCGAGATGTCAGATGAAAGTCATATGTTTTCTAGACGAGAAGTATGCAGAGATCAATATACTGATAGTGTTTTTATTATCTGACAAATGAAAACAAATGATGGAAATTAATACTAAAAATATAACTCTTTGGCCGCAAATAGGAAATTTGACGTCAATGTCAGATACAATTAAAGAAGAAAAGTGTGTCACATATCAGGATATCTCGGCAATTTTAATTTAAAATGACAATATAAGTGCAAGAAATTTGAGGTGATAAGAAGTGAATATTTAGTATTGAGACTTTTACTAGAAAAAGTAAGCATGCCAGTTCAATGCCTTGCTGATAAAAACTGTTATTCGAGAGCGCGCCAAAATGATCATGTTTTTTCAAGACGGAGGAATTCATTCGAATATTTCCTGCAAAGTCGGATTGATATCCCTGAACCAGAATTTCCATTCCTCGCTAAGATTATTTTTTTGATTAATAAAAAACAAATTTTCTAGAACATCGCACATGTAGGAACATTAAAACTTATATAAATATATATACATGAAAATTAGACGTGTTATTTCAAATTTAGGCATTTCGAATATTTGTTTATCTAGCATTTTTTCATGGCTTTCACATAACGGGGTTTAATATCGTTTACAAAATTGACAAAGAATTACATTGAAACTGTAATGAAATCTAAAAAAAAGAACTCTAAAACAGAGAACTACTATATAAGCATGAATTCACTTTAATTATCTTGAACACACATTGGAAAGTATTTGTATTAAACACTGAACTACAATTTTGACTATCCACGTACACGGTTTTTCTTTACAAATCATGCTATAAATTTAACACCGTTCTAGAAATCTGACTATCAAAACATACATTTTGTTACAAATCAGTGCACAGGCTCTGTGTTACAAATGAGTTTATCCAGCTTTGAGAAATACTTTTGAGAATCACAGAGAATCTGGCGCCTGCATGCTCGTTAACTACACCACCACACGTGCTTCTGATGTTGCTTTTCACGTGCACAGTTGACACGCCCGAGTGATTTTAGTCGTTACCGGTCAGGTGTTACATCAAGGTGAGATTTATCAATGCCATGTCACGTTATATCTGCTTATTTGTTAGTCAGACATCAGATACAATTATCAAGTAATGAGTCTTTCATGGGAAGCTCATAATATTCTCTAGCGACTGGAGCGAGCATAAATCCAAGCGAAGGCATTAAAAGATTGGGTAAGATGTTTGGACATGTTTCAAAATGAGAATGGCATCATCGTCTAGATATTGTCCTTGCTACGTGAGCATGTAATGGAATATAGGGTTTGATAGGTCTGCTACAGAACGACTCGATTCATGTTCCCGTGAGAAAGACGCAGGCAATGGCATCAATCATAAGGCATCTAAGTTTAATCGAATGCATGTCAAACATACACCTTTAACATGAGACGAAGCTAACTCCATCCAAATATGCAAATCTGTTTTATAAATTCATGACTATTCCATAAAATCCTGTTAGATTTTGTCCACAAGCATATTCCATTAATCAGGTTGTCTGCAGTTATCCGCTGGAGAGCGAATATGCAATAAAATATGTAATTACGGTACAGGGTTGGTGCCAATGCTCCTACCAACACGTTGTAAAAGTAACCGGGAACACACGTTCTCTAGCACAATGTTTGGGAACAATGTCTTGCATTACACTGTTAGTCACCTGCAAACGTTCCTGAGACACTGCCCAATGTAAATAATGTACACTGGAATGTTCCCCCCTTTCTTACAGTAAGAACAACCCAATTTTCTAGCTCTAGTGTTCCTGCGGCTCTGTTGCTCTTGGCTTTTGCCTTGTTAAGTCTATTTTAACGAAATCAACGGTAGGTTTATGCTCGTTTTCTTGTTTGGTCTTATGGTGTTGACATACAGTTGCAAAACACATGACGTTGACATTTTGTGTATAGTCTTTTATGTTAAAATGTTGTTCAAAACATTAAAACTCTTCAAACGCCGAATTATCTTGTCGTCGACATTTTGTATGTATATATATTTGAATAAATGTTAATGTTGTCAAAAGCTCTTAAAAACATCAGACGGCAAAATAGCATGAATTGACATTAACATGTTATATATATTTGCATATATTTCTTTGTTCTTATGTGGTGAAGTACACAAAACTCCAAACGTTATTGGCCCAGTTGTTTCGTACATTGTGTTAAAGCAATATTGTGCTGTTTATTTCTGTGTATGTCCACACTTGTGTTGAAGAAAAGGAATACCTATTTTATTGTTTGTTTCAGTAGCTATCAAGTGTGCGGCTATTGGACGGAATAGCAAGGCACAGTGCCATACAGCGGAATCCCGTATACCGGTGTATTTTAGACATTTCTATTGTGTTTGGTCTCGCCCCACTAAGGTAAAACACGTGCTCGTTCATTCACTACTAGAAATGTTAACATATATAAACGCACAAAAAACTGGGAAAGTTCCAGAATATAGGCCTGGTCCAGACTAGATTTACACTTGAGGAACGCTACAGACCTGAATGCAATAAACGTTTTGGCACGAAGAAATTAATACTACATGTAAAGATAACGCATTTCAAATTACAAACACAAAAAAGATTTTCTTGGATTAAATAATCTCACCTAGTGATACATTTGTTAATCGTTTGCTGTTTCATACTTAAACATTGTCGGACTGTTATATTCTAAATCTGTTCTTGCACTCATATAATTTTCACCTCGAACGAGAAAGCAGGCCATCAAGGAAATTTGTATTGACTATTTAATTACAACCAAGCACGTTCGATCACTCCCTCAAATTAACAGGATTTCACTGGAATTGTTCTCAACAGACAGATATCATTGGTGGAATTGCAACACCAGCATCAGATCAATGTACCAGTTACAATAAACAAAGTTAGCAAAGAGATGCATCGGCATAACAGTTGGCCACTTCAACTAAATCTAATCAATTTGCATCGTTAAGTTCCCTCTAACAATCACTTATCATCCTCGTCTAGCTAATAAAGATTTTTTAAAGATAGCAAAGAAAAGTGGGAAAATAATCCTGATAAAACTATTTGAACATTGATATCTTAAGATAAAAATTCAGACATTTTTTCAGTAATATAATTTGATCCTACCTTGTGTGACGCTGTATGCCTAGTCCTGTCGGTGCTGACAATTGTCGGATGTGTACGTACGCTTTTTACCAGGAATGAATGGTTACGTAATCCAAGGACTTTCCACAACTGTTGATCGCCTAATTTCCTTAAAGACTCGAGATCGATACAATGATTGTGAGGCTCCTCAAGACACAGGGTACCGTTTCGTGCTTGGTCACACGTGTTGTGTGGCACGGAGTGTGCTGAGTCCGTTACTAGGATGAGAGCCGCGCGCGGTGAACGTTGTTGCCCGTTGTCGACTCGGGAGTTAGTCCGTCCCTGCTCTGTACTATAGTAGAAATAGTGCATTGCGGCTGTAGCGGTATATATGAATTATAAGATTTGTGTATACCGATGCATTTGAAGTACAGAACCAAGAATCCTGGTAGCAATATATATCTCTTTACTCTTTTTTATCATAAAGTCCTTATTAACTTTACATGATAATGACTTGTAATCAGAAGTCGATATGTCTTCGATTGTTCAGCGAGGTTTCATCGGGTAGACACACAATGTCCCTGTGATAATTGTTCAAAGGAACAATCGTTTTTGTATTTGACGGCTTTTGGTTTGGTTAAACACATTCTTTTTGTCATACATGTTAAATAAATTACGCCAACGTGTATCGAATCTTCATAATATGTTAACATATTTTTAGTTCTGCTGATGTTAGTTTTTATTATTTTTAAATGGTCCACTTTTTACCACTCATAGGTATTTCATATATCACCATTCGTTTTGTAGACTTTTATTAAAACTTTTATGGGAACAGCATTCATGCATTTTGTCACTGACCTCTTATAAAAATATATGGAGTTGATGAGGATCAAAGAGAGCAAGATTCGAGGCCTCACTCCTATCATTCTTACTGACCGCCTATCTCCAATAGATAGTCCTACTGACCACTCATCTCACATAGATAGTCTTACTGACCGCTCATCTCCCATTGATTGTCTTACTGACCACCAATTTCCCATAGATAGTCCTACTGACCGCTCATCTCACATAAATAGTCCTACTGACAGCTCATCTCCCATTGATAGTCTTACTGACCTCCCATATCACATAGATAGTCTTACTGACCGCCAATTTCTCATAGATAGTCCTACTGACCGCTCATCTCACATAAATAGACCTACTGACCGCTCATCTCCCATTGATTATCTTACTGACCGCCCATATCACATAGATAGTCTAAGTGACCGCTCATCTCCCATAGATAGTCTTACTGACCGCTCATCTCCCATAGATAGTCCTACTGACCGCCCATCTCACATAGATAGTCTTTCTGACCGCCCAAATCCCATAAATAGTCTTACTGACCGCTCATCTCACATAGATAGTCTTACTGCCCGCTCATCTCCCATTGATTGTCTTACTGACCGCCAATTTCCCATAGATAGTCCTACTGACCGCTCATCTCACATAAATAGTCCTACTGACCGCTCATCTCCCATTGATAGTCTTACTGACCTCCCATATCACATAGATAGTCTTACTGACCGCCAATTTCCCATAGATAGTCCTACTGACCGCTCATCTCACATAAATAGTCCTACTGACCGCTCATCTCCCATTGATAGTCTTACTGACCGCCCATATCACATAGATAGTCTTAGTGACCGCTCATCTCCCATAGATAGTCTTACTGACCGCTCATCTCACATTGATAGTCTTACTGACCGCTCATCTTACATAGATAGTCTTACTGACCGCTCATCTCCCATAGCTAGTCTTACTGACCACCCCTCTCATATAGATAGTCTTTCTGACCGCCCATATCCCATAAATAGTCTTACTGACCGCCCTTCTCACCAAGATAGTCTTACTGACCGTCCATTTCCAATAAATAGTCTTACTGACCACCCATATCCCATAGCTAGTCTTACTGACCACCCATCTCACATAGATAGTCTTTCTGACCGCCCATATCCCATAGATAGTCTTACTGACCGCCCATTTCCAATAGATAGTCCTACTGACCGCTCATCTCAAATAGATAGTCTTACTGACCGCTCATCTCCCATTGATAGTCTTACTGACCGCCCATCTCACATAGATAGTCTTACTGACCGCTCATCTCCCATAGATAGTCTTACTGACCGCTCATCTCACATAGATAGTCTTACTGACGCTCATCTCCCATAAATAGTCTTACTGACCGCTTATCTCCCTTAGATAGTCCTACTGACCGCCCATCTCACATAGATAGTCTTACTGACGCTCATCTCCCATAAATAGGCTTACTGACCGCTTATCTCCCTTAGATAGTCCTACTGACCGCCCATCTCACATGGATAGTCTTACTGACCGTCCGTCTCCAATAAATAGTCTTTCTGACCGCCCCTATCCCATAGCTAGTCTTACTGACCACCCATCTTACGTAGATAGTCTTTCTGACTGCCCAAATCCCATAAATAGTCTTACTGACCGCTCATCGTACATAGATAGTCTTAATGGCCGCTCATCTCACATAGATAGTCCTACTGACCGCTCATCTCCCATTGATAGTCTTACTGACCGCCCATCTTACATAGATAGTCTTACTAACCGCTCATCTCCCATAGATAGTCTTACTGACCACCCATCTCACATAGATAGTCTTTCTGACCGCCCATATCCCATAAATAGTCTTACTGACCGCCCATCTCATCAAGATAGTCTTACTGACCGTCCATTTCCAATAAATAGTCTTACTGACCGCCCATATCCCATAGCTAGTCTTACTGACCACCCATCTCACATAGATAGTCTTTCTGACCGCCCATATCCCATAGATAGTCTTACTGACCGCCCATTTCCCATAGATAGTCTTACTGACCGCCCATCTCCCATATATAGTCTTACTGACCGCCTATCTCCCATTGTGGGTCTTACTGACCGCCCGTCTCCCATATATGGTCTTACTGACTGCCCATATCCTATGGTGGATCTTACTGACCGCCCATCTTCCATTGTCGGTCTTACTGATCGAACGTCTCCCATAGTGGGTCTAACTGACTGCCCATCTCCAATAGCGGGTCTTACTGACCCCCTTCTTCCATAGTGGGTCTTGCTGACCGCCTACCTGACATAGTGGTTCTGACTAACCTCCCATATCCCATAGTGGGTCTTGTTGACCGCTTATCTGCCATAGTGGTTCTTAAAGACCACAAATCTCCCATAGTTGATCTTACCGACCGACCATCTCCCTGAGGGATCTTACTGACTGCCTGTCTCCTATAGTGAATCTTAATTGCCGTCCATCTCCCAAAGTGGGTTTTACTAACCGCCCATCTCCCATAGTGGGTCTTGCTGACAGTCTATCTGCAATTGTGGTTCTACGAGATCCAAAATCTCCCTTAGTGTGTCATACTGACCGCTCATCTCCCATATTGGGTCTTACTGAATGCCTAGGGTCAGTTTTGGGACCCAGTTTATTTCTTTACTTTATAAACGATATCCATGTGGGTCTAAATGCTACAATCCGTTTATTTGCAGACAACACTATTGCATATCTAGAGTTATCAAGTCAAACAGTGATGCTGAAACACTTCAATGTGTTGTCGGTGACTAAAAACAAAACTCCAATAGTCCATAATTATACTTTACATGGACACATACTGGAACATCTTAGTCAGGCAAAGTATCTGGGTGTAACACTATCATCTGACCTTAAATGGGATTCACATATAAATGCTATCTGCCCAAAAGCAAATTCTACGCTAGGCTTTTTAAGACAAAATCTTAAAATTGGCTCAACATCAGCCAAAGTACAGGCATACAAATCATTAGTTCGACCATCACTTGAGTATACCTGTACAGTATGGGACCCTCACACCCAAACAAATATTGACAAGTTGGAAATGGTCCAGCGAAGGGCAGCGCTATGTGCTCAATAAGCACAGGTACAACCATCGTACCTCCAGTGTGTCAGAAATGTTGGACCACCTAAAGCTGCGCCCTCTAGCAGATAGACGTAGAGATGCTCGTCTGACCATGCTTCATAACATTGTAAACCAGAAAGTCGCTATCGTAAAATCAGACAGATTAATCCCTTCAGTTAGAAAATCCCGAACAAACCACCAGTTATCGTATCAAATTCCCCAATAAAAAAAACCAGACCAGAAAGGCATCATTCTTCCCTCGAACTATACCCGAGTGGAATAAACTCCCACCTGACATTATTTCGAGCCCCACAACGGAATTATTCAAATCAGCCCTCTACNTTGAAGTTGGTCAGTACCATTTAGAAGTAGAAGTAGAACTATCTCCCATAGTGGGTCTTGCTGACCGCCCATCTCCCTTAGGGGACCATACTGACCGCTCATCTCCCATATTGGGTCTTGCTAACCACCCATTTCACTTAAGGGGTCTTGCTGACCGCCCATCTCCCTTAGGAGGTCTTACTGACCGCTCATATCCCATAGCGTATATTACTGATGCCCTGCTACCCAAGGGTGGTTAACGGCAAACTAAGCAATGAATGCATTTAATTACAAGAACCATGGAATAGTTTTAATGATTAAGTAGCAATTTTGTGCAATGACTGAAAGTTCAATTAGGTGCAGGTTTATTATATAGAAATAAATTAAACTCGTGTTCATAGCATCTTATAAGATACTAACCCATGTTATTTTGAAGTATGTGCATGCAAAATGTTTGTAATTATCAACTATTCAGAAAAAAAATTGGATAAATGAAAAATACCTTTCTATTCCTGCTAGTATGTATTGCGACATGCTATAAAAAGGGAGGAGGCACATCTGATTGAATACAACGATGCTTATCTTCTAAAAATCACCCACGAAGGTAACCTTGCGTAAATATACAATGTAATACCTACACAGAACAATGCATCATTGTACATCAAAGAATCAGAGTAATGTTTAGGATACATGGCATCATACTGATAGGCATTGCGTCTGTTTCTTTTAAATGAAGGGTAAATACACGTATGTTGAAGTTTTTGCCTTACAAAAGGAAATTGATAATGTTTCCAGTCATGCAATAATTGAATGTAATGCAGAAAGAGCTATTATTTCCATTTCGTTTTATCGTTAAATGTTGTTCATTTCTATAATTAGAAAACAGTTTTCACTAATGCAAGGAAAGAGAAAGAGAAAAAAGAATGAAATTAGTGTGTTTCCAGATTCCCCTTTGAAGAAGTAAATCACGTTACATTGATAAAGCTAGAACATCTAGTCCTGTGTGAAGCACACGGTGGGAAACACTACACCTGAGAGTTAATTCCGACTCAGTGATTACTGGTCT